TTTAAATTTTTTATGTATTTTTGTTTTTTTTCATCTATTAACTACTGCAACTAACAACAACAACCAAAAACAAAAATGCATATACATACAACATACAAATATTCCCCACCTCACACTTTAAATGGTGGCATGTCCCCATGACACACAAAGAAAAATGCAAAGGTGAAGAAAATTCCCCTGATCAAGTCAGTTCGTGTCGGAGATAGTTCTGGGGTCCATATGACAAGCCCGGCCAAGCGCACGCCGCCATGCCATGATCTTCTTCTCGGATTTGGCATTCTGTGTAGCAAGTGCGTCCACTCGAGTACCCAAATCAGTGATAGAAGTACGCATCCCTGCCATCTCCTGCTCTAAAGAGCTCATTCTTGTGTCCCAACCGCCACCTGAAGTTACCCCAACACCCGGATCATGTGGTGGAGAATTAGAGACATCCTCATTGCCCTTTTCGGGCGCATCAGATTCCTCACTATCCGCCTCAGCGGGCCCAACAGGGTCCTTCCCGATTACAACCTTATTAACCCGGAATTTATGTTTGCGCTTTACTTTTCCATCCAAGTCCCTATTTTCCGGTACTCAGGCCCCATGGCATAACCGAGTGACTAATGATGGGAAAAAGAACCCATACCTCTGCACAGGACAACGAGTCAACATCTCGTCCTGAATGATCTGAGCCACATCAAAATCGTGGCCATTGAAAAAGCACCAAATCAGAGCCGCCCGAGGACTATTCACCTCAGTGGTGTTTCATGAAGGCAGCAGGCGGTTATTGATAATGTAGAGCCAGCACTTCCCTTCAAAGGTCAGCGAAGCCGAGTGAAATTTTTGCCCCTCCTTTATCCACATGACCTCCTTGCCAGGTACACAAATGGTTGCGAAGAATAGGCGCCACAAGTATGGTTCTCTGCTGTGCGTGACGTAGTAATCACCTCTATCCGGATCTTTCACGAAATGAGTAAAAGTAGGTAACAGAAGCGGAGGGATTGCTGTTTTTTATTAGTGAAGACAAGCAGCTTTTTCTTCTCTCTCCTTTCCCTCATCTCCTTTCTTCTCTCAAGAGGTGTATGATAGGCCCTTCGGATGGCCTCTTTGGAGAAGTCCACTCTTTTCTTCCTGACTATGCAGACATGGGCGTCATGTTCCGGGCAGTTTGCATAAAACTCCCGAACAACCATTAAGTTTGCTTCATCAGGTTCTTCAAAGAATATCCCCAAGCTACGCCTGACCAATTCATGATACACATGGGGATAGTCATTCTGGAGGGACCCAATATCAATTCTCCTCTCCGAAATGGGCTTTTTGCTTGCCTTGTGTTGGAATCGTTCCTGGGCTTCCCAGGAGACGAACTTGTTCTGATCATACGGGCGAGCAGATGCCGATGTTCGAGACCGGGATGTGCCCGCTTGACCACTTGTAGAGGCACCTGTGGTTTTTCATTTCTTGGGCGGCGCCATAGTACCTAAAACAGACCACCAACTATTAGCTAATAAATCACATGGCGAACCAAGAGAGGCTACTCAAACTTCACCCTTACACTTGGTCACAACATTACACACAATCGCATTGAGGCAATTTCACAAACTCATAACAAGCACAGTTCTTCCTAACCCCCACAACTCAATTTCAGCCCTAATTAGACTAAGGATACACCAATGTTACACCCAGCCACTACATGGTCAGTCTCCATGGTGAAACTCGACTTCCCACCCCACAAGGAAAGGAGCATAAATGGAGAGAAAACAAAAACAAATATCTACGACAACACAAGCAAAATCAAATACAATAACTAAGAAAAGAGAGAAAAAGCATCTCACTTACCTGAAGGGACTTGGGAGAGAAGACATGTGAGGTTGGTTGACAGGAGAAGAGGAGGGGGTGGTGTGGTGTTGTTTGTCTTACAGAGAGAGGATGAGAGAGGGGGTCGAATTAGGGTTGTTTAGTGTAGGGGACAGAAAGAGGAAATTTTAGAATTGAGGGTTTTGAGAGGGGAAAGTCCGAAATTAAAAGGGAAAAACTTGCCTGATGCACGGTAGGTGCGTGGTCGGTGCGCGGTCGTGCATGTGGTCGCGCACTTGAGGCAGTACACTAGTGAAAATACGCGACCAGGTACACGGTCACCCAATCAGATGCGTAGCCACGCACGTCTTGCTTCGTATAACATTGCCTGGTGTGCGACCTGGTGCGCGAAGTGACCCCCAGCTGCGCGGTCGTGCACGAATACCCTCAAAAGGGGTCTTTTTGATACCTTAATTCCTTCCTTCCGCGACATGTACCTTCTTGCACCTACCCCATCATACTATACACTAATATATATCGATTCTACACTATAAATAAAAGTGAAAATCTAACTAATAGAAGAGTTAGAAGTAGTTCTGAGTTATAGTCGCCAGCTTGACTCAACCGGGCATCCTCAACTGATTTTGATGCTCGAGGGTTGCTGAGAAAATCGTCCAGCAATATACGGCTTTAGTCTGTGCCCATTCACCTTGAAACTTTCTGTTTCATCCTAGTTATGGATCTCAATTGCCTCATATGGTGATACATGTTTCACCACATATGGTCCCGTCCATCTAGACTTAAATTTTCTGGGGAATAACCTGAGTCTACTATTGTACAGTAAGACTTTGTCCCCTTCATGAAACTCCTTTGGCTTAATCAGAGGATCATGCCACCTTTTAGTCTTTTCCTTGAAAATTCATGTATTTTCATACGCGTCCAGTCTAAACTCCTCCAAAGCATTCATCTGCGCCAACATGTGTTCACCTGCAAGACTAAGATCAAGATTAAGCATCTTAATTTGCCAATAAGCTTTATGTTCTATCTCAACAGATAGGTGACAAGATTTCCCATACACTAGTTTGAATGGTGAAGTCCCTATGGTTGTTTTGAACGCAGTTCTGTACGCCCATAGAGCTTCTTCCAACTTTACCGACCAATCCTTACAAGAAGCACTAACCATCTTTTGAAGAATACGTTTAAGTTCACAGTTAGCCACTTTGACTTTACCACTAGTCTGGGCATGGTACGGGGTTCCCGTTTTATGTGTGACCTCATACTTGGACAGCAGTGCAGCAAACTGCTTATTCACAAAGTGTGACCCATTATCATTGATAATCACTCTAGGTGTCCCGAAGTGGGTAAAGATGTTTTTCCTTAAGAATTCACACACCACCCGAGCATCATTGGTCCTAGTAGGGATTGCTTCGACCCACTTAGAGACGTAGCCAATGGCTACTGACAATGGGAATGGATCCATGAAGTCAATGCCCCAAACGTCAAAAATTTCATATAACAGAATGGAGTTGAGAGACATTTTTTCCCTATTGCTAATATTACTTTCCCTTTGACACTTGTCACATGCAGCTACGTACGCTCTCGCGTCTTTGTACAAAGTAGGCCAAAACAGCCGGCTTCCATTACCTTTGTTGCAGTGCAATTCTCGCCATAGTGTCCTCCAGCTACTCCATAGTGGCAATGAGACAGAATGCTTTCCATTTCGCATTCAGGCACACATCTTCGAATCACACCATCTGCACACAGTTTAAACAAGAAGGGATCATTCCAAAAATAACATCTTACCTCACCTTGAAACTTTTCTTTTCTAATCTGAGGTTAAGTCGTGTGGTAGCCACCCACTAGCCAAGAAGTTGGCTATGTCGGTAAACCATGGTGGTCTATCGGAGACTGCTACAATGGAAAAAATCTGCTTATCTGGGAACTCTTTCCGAATGTCAACTGCTTCAACTAGTGGTTTCTCCAATCGCGACAATTGGTCAGCCACTTGATTTTTTGTGCCCTTTCTGTCCTTGATTTCTAGATCAAATTCTTGCAACAACAATACCTGTTGCATCAGATACGGTTTGGACTCTCTCTTACTCAGCAAATATTTCAGTGTTGAGTGATCAGTATGCACTATTACCTTTCTTCCCACCAAATAGGATCTGAACTTGTCGAAAGCAAAGACTACCGCAAAGAACTCCTTCTCCGTGGTAGCATAGTTCACATGAGCATAATTCAAGGTTCAGCTTGCATAGTAAATGGGTTAGAATAGTTTATCTCTCCTCTGCCCCAGTGCTGCTCCTACTGCCATATCACTGGCATCACACATTATCTCAAAAGGCTCACTCCAGTTAGGAGTCACCATTATGGGGGCACTCACTAGCTTCTCCTTGATCAGTTCGAATGCTCTGAGACACTCCACATCAAATACAAGTTTTACATCCTTGGCAAGTAATGCAGTCAAGGGCTTGGTAATGCTGGAAAAATTCTTAATGAACCTTCTATAGAAACCGGGATGCCCCAAAAAACTTCTGATGCTCTTCACTGAGGTCAGTGGTGGGAGCTTGGCTATCACGTCTACTTTAGCTCTGTCAACTTCAATACCTTCAGCTATGACTTTATGGCTCGGGACTATCCCCTCCTTAACCATGAAGTGACACTTTTCCTAGTTGAGTACTAGGTGAGTGTCCTCACATCGTTTCAGAACAAGTCTGAGGTTCCTCAAGCAATCTTCAAAGTCATCTCCAAATAGAGTAAAGTCGTCCGTGAACACCTCCAGAAACTTCCCATTTAAACCTGAAAATATTGACATCATGCATCTCTGGAAAGTAGATGGTGCATTGCATAGTTCGAAAGGCATTCTGCGGTATGAAAAGATTCCGGACGGGCATGTAAAGGTGGTTTTCTCAATATCCTCTGTAGCAATGGGTATTTGATTGTACCCTGAATATCCATCTAAAAAGCAGTAACATCCACGCCCCGCCAGCTTCTCCAACATCTGATCAATGAAAGGAAGAGGGAAGTGATCCTTCCTTGTTGCATCATTCAATCTCCGGTAATCAATGCACATCCTCCATCCAGTAACTGTTCTGGTAGGGATTAGCTCGTTGTCCTCATTTTTTTACCACTGTCATGCCCTCTTTTTTCGGCACAACCTGTACAGGGCTGATCCATTGACTGTGAGAAATGGAAAATATTATGCCTGCATCCAGCAATTTGAGTATCTATTTTTGAACCACCTCCTGAAGATTTTTGTTCAATTTGCGTTGGGGCTGCACCACTGGTTTACTCCCTTCTTCTAACAAGATCTTGTGTATACATATTGCAGGGCTGATCCCCTGAATATCGGCTATACTCCAACTGATTGTCTTTTTATGCTTCCGTAGTAACTCCACAAGCATGTGTTCCTGTTCACCTGTCAAATTAGCAGCAACAATCACAGGAAAATTGTTAGTCTCCAAAAAGCATATTTCAAATGTGTTGGGAGTACTTTCAATTCCAGCTTTGGCTTGCTCTTTTCTTTCTCGAATTCTTCTTCATCTACCACCTGGTTCTCATATTCCAGCGCCTCAACTTCCATCTTGATCTCAGGATCCTCATCTTCTGTTGTGCTTGATTGACTAATGCATCTCTTTAGTGAGTCACCTACCAGCTTATCCGGTTTGTGTTGTTCAGCTAACTCTCCCACCACATCTATTTTGAGACAAGCATAGGTAGATGCCTCATCATATGGGTATTTCATCATTCTCTTCATTTGAAACACCACTTTTTTGTTTCCCATTAGTAGCATGAGTTTCCCTTCATATATATCAAGAATAGCCCGGCCAGTGCAAAGGAATGGTCTCCCCATGATTAGAGGCACTTCCTTATTCTCTTCCATATCTACCACGATGAAGTCTACTGGGAAAACAAATTTGTCTACCCTTACCAAGATGTCCTTAATTATGCCCTCCGGTATGATCATGGTTTGATCAGCAAGTTGCAAGAATACTGGTACAGATTTGATCACTCTTAGCTCTCCTTCCAATTTCTTGAACACCGATAATGGCATCAAGTTAATGGATGCACCTGAATCGCATAAGGCTTTATCAAAATTTTCGCTACCCAACGATCAAAGTATAGTGAAACAGCCAGGTTCCCTACACTTCTTGGGAATTTTGTTCTGTAGAATGGCACTGCAATGGGCATTGACTTTGACAACTTTCATTCCTTTGAGTTTCTTTTTGCTTGAGAGGATTTCCTTCAGGAATTTTGCATAGGCTGGCATCTGTTTGAGCACCTCCGTGAACGGGATATTCACATACAACTGTTTCAGCATCTGCAAGAATTTCCCAAAGCATTTGTCTAATTTCTCCCGCTTCATCTTTTAAGGAAAAGGTAACAATGGCATGTGCTTGCTTTCCTCAACTGCGTTGTTCACTTTCTACTTATCAACATCCTTGTTGCTGACATTTTCATTGGGCAAAGATTCACCGATTTTCTGTTCTTCAGCTATCTTGGTTGAGTTAATCTCCTTCTCATCCCTTGGTTTTGCCTTTGGCTCTGCTAATGTTTTGCCACTCCTAAGAGACACAACTTTAATTATCTCTTTTGGATTCTTTTTAGTGTCTGCTAGCAAAGTCCCCGGCGCCCTTTCTAACAACAATGTTGTAAGCTGCCCCATTTGTCTTTCCAAATTTTGGATGGCTGTGCCTTGCTCCCAGATAGCGCTTCCTTGAGTCTCAAGTTTCTCATCGGATTTATTTATAAATTCCTTCATTAGATCTTCTAAACCTGAGTTGTTGGGCTGTGGAGGTTGGTATGGTTGCCTCTGTTGAGTATGGAAACCAGGAGGTCCTTGCACTGGTGCTCTGGGATTTTGTTGTTGCCATGAGTTCAAACTACCAGTTGAAGAACTCCATGAGAACCCTGGATGTCTCTGTCCCATAGAATTGAAATTACCACCTCCTTGGTAGTTGCATCTGTTGAAGTTCCCCACAGTGTTGACTTCCTCAGTTGTAGCTTGACACTCATGTGTCAGGTGTCCCAATCCACAGATGTCACATCCCACATGTGGTTATTTTGCACCTGAGCTAGCATCAGTTGCTTGATGTCCTTAGCCATCGCTGCAATTTGGGCTTGTATTGCTACCGAGGATTCTACTTGGTGCACCCCTGCTGATCTTTTTCAGTCCCCTTGATCAGTGGACCATTGTTCTGCGTCTTCAGATAGTTCATTCAGAAGAGTGACAATCTCTTTAGGAGTTTTCTTCATCAGAGGGCTTGCAACCGCTCTATTCAGCAATCTCCTTGATGACGGGTTTAAACCATCCCAGAAGTCCTGGATTTGCATCCATTGCTCCATTTCATTATGAAGGCACCTCCGTAATAGCTCCTTGAATCTTTCCCATGCCTCGAACACTGTCTCCCCATCACCTCGACTGAAATTGTGAATCTCTTCCCTCATTTGTCCAGTCTTAGTGGTTTTTCTAAGAACTTGGTCGTCATCTCCACCCACGTACGGATTGACCCTATGGGAAGGCTTCTCAACCACTACTTTGCATCATCCTTAAGAGAGAACGGAAATGCTATAAGGTAGATGGCATCATGTAATGCTCCATTGTAACGGAATATGTTCATAATTTTGTCGAAGTCCATTAGATGGTTGTTGGGATCTTCATTGGGTTTCCATCTGAATATGTAATTATTATGAATGGTCTGGATGACTCCCTGTTTGAGTTCAAAATTATTGGCATCAATGGGTGGGGGTCTCACACTAGACTGTTGTTGGATATATACCGATCGGGCATAATCTCCTAACGACCTCCCATTCTAGGAGCGGCATTTTCAAATTCATCTTGTATCACGTTTCAATTGGGATTGAACCTTTTCTCCCCATCGACAGTTTCATCTGCAATTCTGGCTGCTTCAGCTACTAACCGTGCTTTCCGTTGCTGAGCCACCTCTCTCGCAGCTAGCTCCACTACCTCTTCATTGTTTACCATTATAATTTGAGTTAAAGGCTAACCCAATAGCAATCCACTCGATCCTTTCTCTCTTCTCAACTGCCTCAGGTGCTTCTCTAACTCTGGGTCGTAAGGCACCAAATCCTTTGAAGAGGATCGAGTCATACACCGCTGAACTTAACCCGTTGCCTGCACACAGATGAGAAGAGCATAATAAAGGAAAATAAAATAATTAGCACTGAAAATTAATTTAAACACTATTAATCGCCTATCACCGGCAACGACGCCAAAATTTGACGAGCGCAAAATCGGTGTAGAAAACTTAGACTCGCTAGTCAAAGATAGTATAGTATTAAATTGTCTCCACAGGGATTAGTTTAAATAAAGTTCTAATAAAACTCCAGCTCACCACTATCCAGGATAATAAACCTTTGATTGATGTTATTATCGACAACAAATAAAACTAAGATTATCTATTGTAAGAAACTAATGGCACTTTAATGATTAAGGAGCAACGATTTAATATTAGGGTGAGAAGTAAGAGTTGTGACAAGATATGTGATCAACTATTATTCTGGGTAACTCTGGTTTAAGTTCATTCTTAATTTCTATTGACTCCTTCGATTTCAACAGATGATTAGGCTACCTTAGGGATTCAATCTCTTCTTCCGAATGAATGAGAGTTTTCTTAACCCACCTAATAACTGGTCTTATGAACATATGCACAAACACAGTGAATGAATAATCCTTCGAAGAACACCTCTCGATTATTCTTCTAAACTAATTTAATTAATAACTCTCTAAGCTCTTTCGATTACCTAGAAAAGGCATAGAATCAACCTAAACGATATGGCACAATGCAAATTGCAGCAACACTTCTCTTTCGATTAAAGTAAAACCACAATAAACCTTGCAATTCAATTAATAACTTATTCAATGAATCCGAGCAATTAACAGAGAGTAAAACCCAAAACAATAGTCAAATCACAACATCCGTCAATAACCCTACGCAAGGTTACTCCATAATGAAAAAAGTATTCATTACAAGAGTATTAGAAGAACAAGAAGACATTACAATTCCCAAATTTAAACAAACTTCCGTATTGAATGAATTTGATCAAGTATTTTGCATTTTTGTTGTTTCCTTCCTTCTTCTCTACCCAAAAGTTGCTCTCCAAATCCAAGATACCCTCTTTTTAGATGAGCTGGGCTTCATATAGGTCAAGAAGAGTCTCTTTCGAAATAACAATAATAGGCTTGGAAAATTTTCGACACCAGACGTGCGAGGTCGCGTACCTGGGCAGGTGATCGCGCATGTGGTCGCGCATGTTGGACAGTGTTCTGCTCCACTTGCGCGCCCAGTACGCGTTCGTGCACCTGGATGGCTTCCTGTTCCCTTGTCGTTTCTCTTCATTAAGTGCATTATTTTCTGTTGATCCTCGATTACGATCCCAACTTAATCTATGGGTTTTTACTCAGACTTCAAAGCTCCAGACTACGTCGAATTAGCTCCAAAACCTCATCGTAACTCGGAATCACTCCTACAAAGCATAAAACACACTTTCAGTACAAAATAATACCATTTAAAGCTCAAACACTAGTAAAGTAGAGCGAATTAGAGTGTAATTAATGGCCAAAATACACAATTATAGCCTACCATCACCGAGTCCAGACCCTTTTGCGTTCTAGGCACCATCTTTAAAGAGGGTCCAGATCCCCGAGGAGATCCCTGAGGTTAACAACAATTCCTTTTGGACTTCGGGTATTAAGGCCAGCATGATATCGGCCATGAAGTCTGCCAAAATTTGAGATTTGATGGTGGTTCGAGGTCGATATTCAATATCGTACCCGCTAATTTCCACGACCCATTTATCCAATCGTCCCGAGAGCTCGGGTTTGTGCATTATGTTCCTCAATGGGTAAGTTGTCACGACACATATGGGATGGTATAGAAAATAAGGCCTTAACTTCCTAGAGGCGCTTAGGCGAGCACCAATTTCTCCAGGTGAGGATACCTTGTTTCGGCCTCGCCTAAAGTCGTACTAACATAATATATAGGAAACTGCGTACCTTCTTGTTCCTAGACTAGGATTCCACTTACCGCTATCTCAGATATCGCTAAGTATAGGTACAACTGCTCGTCTGCCTTCGGAGTATGAAGCAAGGGTGGACTCGAAAGGTACCGTTTGAGTTCTTCCAAAGCTTGCTGGCACTCCAGGGTCCACGAGAAGTTATTCTTCTTCTTTAATAACGATAAGAACCGATGGCTCTTATCGGAGGACCTTGAAATGAACCGACCCAGGGCGGCTATACGCCCGGTTAGCCTTTGGACGGCCTTGACATTGTCCATCACGGTGATGTCTTCTATGACTTTGATATTTCTCCGAGTTCAGCTTCATATTGTATTTCTTCAGTATGTTGAAGTTTTCCTGCAAATGTTCCAAATGGTCTCTGCTTGCAGGGACTTAACTAAGATGTCGTCAATGTAAACCTACATTGATTTCCTGTTGGCTCTTCGAACATCCTATTTACTAGGCGTTGGTAAGTGGCACCAATATTTTTTAGTCTGAATGGCATTATGTTATAATAATAGGTGCCATATTTATTGATGAAGAAAGTCTTTTCTTGGTCGCCCGGGTCTATTCGGATATGGTTGTACCCGGAATAGGCATCGAGAAAGCTGAGTATCTCGTGACCGGCCGTCGCATCGATGATCGATGTTAGGCAAAGAAAAAGAGTCCTTAGGGCATGCCTTGTTCAAGTCTTTGTAGTCTACACACATTCTTAATTTATTTTCCTTTTTAGGCACTACCACTACATTTTCTAACCAATCGGGATACTTAACTTCCCGAATGGAACCTATTTTAAGGAGTTTGTATGCCTCATCTTTGATGAATGCATGCTTGACTTCGGACTGAGGCCTCATCTTCTGTTTAACTGGGTGAAACTTCGGATCCAAGATCAGCTTGTGGGTAGTAATTTCCGGCAGGATCCCTGTCATGTCATGGTGGGACCAAGTGAAACAATCTATGTTAGTTGTAAGGAATTCAATGAGTTTTTTCCTGAGCTCGGGAGTTAGCCCCATGCCCAGGTATACCTTCCGATCGGGCAGGTGCTCGATCAATCTGACTTGCTCCAGCTCCTCGATTATTGACTTGGTGGCATCAGAATCGTCAGGGGCTATGAAAGACCTAGGGACTCCGTAATTGTCGTTCTCGACTGTCTCTTGCTTTCCTTGGTGATCAAACTCGAGTTCTTTTATGTCGAGAGTGTGGATATCGGGACCACCTCATCGACCGCGAACATTTGTTTTGCGGCCAGTTGCTCCCCGTAAACTGTTTTGATTTCTCTCGGTGTGGGGAATTTCAACGCCTGATGTAGCGTCGAGGGTATTGCCCTCAAGTTGTGAATCCATGGCC